CCCCAACCCCACGGACATGCCCCAGACTGCTGACCCATGTCATCCAGCCTGTAGGCTCTCCACAGGTCTGAAAATGTTGCTGCTCCCCTGCTTTCAATTTTTTAAACCTGTGGGGAGCACTGCAGGATGGACAGCATGGCCCTGCATGCTAGTTTGGATGCGTGGGACTGACAGAGGTGATGCAGGGCCCAATCTCGCCCATGGATCAGTCCCATGACACTCTTCTGACCCATGGAGCCGAATGATTGAGCACTACTGGTCTACAGTATTACCAGAGGTCAAGGAGTCATGGACACTTAACTACTTTCCTCACCCTCTCCTTGCCCCCAGATGTGGTCTCCCCAGGGCAAAGGGAGGTCACTTCCTGCAACCTGAGGTTGGTTGCAAGTGATGGAAGCTAGACCCAAAGGCATTTGCTGTCCACCCCATGTGTCCTCTACCATGTGTTCCACAAGAAGGAGGCTATCCTGCCCCTCTTGCTTATTTGAGTTGGTACTTGTAGAAAGCTGCTCCCAACCAACCTGTCCCTCTGTAACTTGAAATCATGCCCCAGTCAGCCCCAAAGCACCAGATGTACAGGTTGAACAATATTAAACAGGTTGACAATATTACTCCTAAGGTCTCCAACTCCTGTGCTTTAGTGAAATGGTCAAGGTTAGATTTGAGCTGGATGTGTCAATACCAACTTTCTGGTTACTAGGATTATTTTAGTAGTAGTCTAATTATTTACAGTGATAAGTTTCAGGAAGAAAATCAATGTTCACATTGGAAAAAACTGCTGCCACATACATCTCACAGTCAGGACACTTCCCCCACATGTTCACCTTAAATTTTTTGCTTTTCTAGTTAGACTGCATGTGACCCACATGCCCCTCCATGGTTACATTCTTAAAATATCTGTACACTTCTTTCTCTCTTTCTACTATCTCTTAACCAAGGTATTCATAATGCAGTTCCTTTATTTTTGTAAACTGGTCTTCTGATCTTTTTAGATTCTGTTCCATATGGCACCTCTTGTAAAAGATGCATCGTGCACATTATAGAACAGCAATTTTTATACTTACAGCCAAAGAAAAAGTGAGAATCCTGAGATATAAAGGTTCCTTTGGGACCTAAAGAGTTTCATCTGAATATGATCAAAGGCATTTTGGTGGACACTTGCAACCTTCTCAGTCGCATGAGCAGCTGAGTACTTCTTCACTTCTCTAATTGCATCTGTAAGCAAAAACAGATTGTTTTCATCTTTAGTTTGTATGTGTACAGGCATGGCAGTTTAGCACTTCCAAAACCTTCAAAGCTGAGACTGCTCTGTGGACTTCTCACTTCACAAACAGATGTACCACAGACAATGAGACAGGGTTACTCAACTGCCTTGAAAACGTGGCCTGACTTGAAGGGATCACTCTGGAGTAATACTGTAGTTTGTCTACCATGCCATCTCTCCCAGCCCTGCCTAGATACACTAGTTAGGAATTGGATCAAGGTGAAACATTCTCCAAAACACTACCAGAGACTCTTCAGATAGACCATATTCCAGTTGGTGAACTTGCAATAAAAAGATTAAAAACTGAAGCTCCCAAGGTATTTCTTTCTTTCCCTCCCCATCCCCTCCCCACCACAAAAGTTTTTTTTCTTGCAAAAGAGACTCTTGATTTAGGTTCCTATTTGGGGAGATAGAACCAATGCTATCTTCACTCATTAAAAGGAAATACATTATTATATAGAATCTATAACAGACAATTACATCTGACCCATTTTCATGGGTTGCATTTATTTTAAAAATAGCTTCCAAATACAACAGGAAAGGAGTAAATTAGTTTCTCTCATTTGCCTAGAAAATTAGTTTGCTTCATTCTCCTACAAAACCTTTGAAGTGGCCAACAGACATGATTGCAGACATCACTTGATGAACTACGCAGAGAGAGGCCAAGTTGATACTGCAGTAGGAGATCACCAGGGAGGACCTGGACACTGAAGGCAAGTAACTACATTCTTTCTTTTGAACCATTATTCAACTAATACCCCATCATAAGCCTAGATGTGTCGGTAGAAATGCCATTTTTACAGCCATAAAAACTTGTTGCCATTAAAAATAAATATGATTTATATCCCTCTGCCACCCTGTAACAAATTAATTAACTCCAGCTGCTGGACCAAACTCAGAGTGGTTGTCAGAGACATTGGAATGTCAAGATAAAGAAACATTTCACTTTCTGTCCTAAAAACTTTTTAGTATTGTTGCTGTGAGCTATTAAGCTGCCTCTGTATATCAAGAGTGGACCAAATGATCCATTTAAGCTTCTATTAAAACCACCTTTTCTTTTTAAAGGTGCCTAAATTTTCAGATTTTAAACTAACCCTGCCCCCCACCCCAAACTTATTTTATGGCATAAAGGGATGGACTATATGTATTATAGTTTGACAGGTACACCTCCCTCATGATTTATTCCAGCCCACATCTTCATTTTAATACATACATAATTTTTGGTCATACAATATAACCACATAAATTCAGTGTGAAAAATAAGTATATACACCTTTATTTTGGGCCATTCACTCCAATATCTAATGCTAAAGATCCTGGAGGTCTTCTACAAAAGGCACTTGAATATTCATGTCTTTGTGTGTATTATTAGCACAGGTTTAATTTATTAAAATGACTGAATTATACTGATCTAATTTACATTTTATGCGTTTGTTTTTGCCTTTGCAGTTTATTGTTTTTGCATTTCACTCAACGTGAACAACAAAACTGGTTAGATTCAACTTCTGTTTAACTCCTGTATCATTCCAAGTTTTTTTTTCCATCTCAAAACATTTTATAAGTTTAGTAACTCCTTTTGTCCATGAAAAAGGTTCATCACTTCTACCACTGAAACACACCAGACATTTAAAAAGTATATAAACTATAGATAGAAGTTTGAGACAAAAGTGAACTTAATTAGACAGGCAGAACATAGTCATCCAAGCTTATGCTTCACTAAAAATTTAGGGCTACTTTAGAGATCCTTATGTATTTTTCCTCAGAACCAGGTGTGACCAAATATTCAGTTTTATATCTTGCCTGAGTAAATATCTCCAGGGATATGCTGCTTTTCACAGCACTCTACCAGGGCAGTAGCTCAAGAACAGCTTAGAGAAATACTGCCACCTATTGAAAACTATTAGTCAATTCTTACAGAAATTCAGCATTCTTGGGGCCTGTCCCATCCAAGTACAGAGCTCACTTTACTGTACTTGGCTAGCACAATTTGATCAAATGACGGCAAAAAGTGGGTTGGCTGCACTTCCATTTCTTCTTACTCGTTAGCACAATGCTATCATGTTCAGATTCCCAAGTCTGCACAGAAATGTTTAAATTACACCAAAACAAACTTCAACTGAAATTAGGAAAAAACAAAGCTGTGTTAGGTTTATATCCTTCCTGTTTATCCATTGCTATGCACCCTTATATACCTGCTAAACACTATTCAACACACAAGAGAAAATATTTATTACTTACCAAGAAATAAAACAATCAGCAGTACTATTATTGTAAGGAATGCTTTATTCCAGTAAATTGCAATTTTATTCCATAGTGGAATCATAAAAACCTTCTGCCATCTGTAAAAAACAAAACAAAGCACTGTATTATTTCAAAACAAAGTCCATAATTCAAAAGAGGAGGAGCACTTTATACAAGCATGTTTGTCAGATTTTTGATTCCCATAGTGTAAGGTCTAGTAACAGTTTTTTCAACTTCAACATGGTTTAGATTAATATTAAAACTTAAAAGTGACTGTGACATTTACCTTGCATCCATGCTTTTTTTCCTCCCTAGCAAAAGGCGCACACACTGATGCTAAATCTTCCTTTTCCAACTACAGTCACATGAATGTAATCTTTCCAAGTTAGAACTTCATAAATTAAAAAAAAAGCCTCACTTAAAAAAACAAAACAACACAAGAGTGCTTTGTAAAAACTGATGCTTTGTCACTCATCTGCTACTGATCAAGGATTAAGAAGAAACTTTCTCTGCGCACAGGTTATTCTAGACATTTGATTCCAAAGATGCAACTGTTACTGTCTACTGTTGAAAATGGTACACAAAACTAGTCAAACCACTGACTGGAACATAAACATTTCTATGCCGAGTCAGGAACAAAACACTGAAAGTTTGGTTCTGTCCTCCCAGTTGCATTTTGGTATTGTCAATACATAAAACAAAGAGCAAATTTTATTTGTTAATACATTTCAAAACCAGTATAAGGTAAACCTCCTAACCCTAAATGAGTTGTTTGAAGACTGAAAAAGGAGTAACTGAAGTTTTCCAGGAAAGCAGACAACTTCTTACTTCAATGGTGCATGGTTTACCATTGTGACAAAATTGAATCCCAGATCAAAGTGCTGGTCAGGCCACAGCTTAAGAAATGTTGCCCTCAGGTACTGTTCACAAGTCCAGGAACTAGACTTTAACCCAACATGTTACTTGTCATGCTCAGCTATCTTGTTAATAAAACCATGTCATTTAAAGACAGAGGCATTTTGTTCTTGCAAAAAAAGTTTTAAGAGAAACTGAATGCTGCAAATGAGCCTCATTACAGCTAACACAAAATAAACTGTGGAGAAGTCTCATCTATCCCATTATTAAAGCACAAATGAGCCATACTGTAACATTAGGAGCCATGCTTAACAACTGAAAGGCTAGTGAGACTTGGTAGCATCAGATGTTAAAGAAATAGCTTTTCATTCATGGAAGCTAGGTTCAAAACCTAGTTATCTTACAAGACACACTGAGTTCAATGCTCCTAACCTAAGCCACAGTGGGCATGTTTACATGAGATATTTACTGCGCAGTAGCCTGAAAACACTGTGCAGTCACGTGCTAGTCAAAAACTGTACTAATATACTACTGCACAGTGTTATTACTAGGCTTCTGCGCAGTAAGCATCACAAACAAAAATGCACTGTGCTGCTGTGCACATTTAGCTAGTATTTCATTAAGCAAGTAGTAAACATGTAGATGCACCCAGTGAGTACCTGCTTTTACCTCAGGCTCCAAACAGTTGTGTGGAAGCTTTCTTCTTATAATTATTACTATGGCTTATTCAAACTTGCATAATATTTCTCCTTTTCTGGTTCAAACCAGTTTTCAATGCTGCACTTCCTGCGGTGCCCTTTCAATCTTCTGGCACATGGACAACCTGGGATCAGGGACTGGGTCACTGATCCCAGACATCCTGTGTTCAAACGCAGCCCAGCATCAAGGAACTGGTTCCCCAGTACTGGGCTGCACAGCTACCCTCTGCCCACTAAAAAGTGTGCTGTGAAGTCCAGCACCAGACTCCAAGGCCTAGCTTTAGAATGTCCTGGCACATGGGGAGTAGGACACAATGCAGGGAGTCTCTCCCTGATGTCAGGCTCCATATGTATCAAGACATTTAAAGCCATGTCATGCATTATGGGATTAACTGAGCTGGGATACAGCTACCCCTTGCCCAGGCCTGCCAATCAACTGATTGCCAGGACTGGGCAGGGGGCAGCCCTCAGATCCTGGACACAGGCCACTGGTTTTGGGTTGTGTCCCCACTCACCTAATCCAATGCTGCACAGTGCAGTTTTAAATTACCTGGTACATGAAGAACCCAACATCAGGGAGCAGGTCCTCAATCTCAGATTGCCTGTGTGCCATGCAGCTGGGCTACATGCACCCCTTTTAACTGTCCTCACAAATGAGGAGCCCCAGATCAGGGAACCACTTCAAAGGGACACATACAGCTAGACTGAGTATGGGCATAGGGAGCTGGTATCAGGGAGATGATTGGTAAACCCAATCTCAGGCTTCTGCATCAGCATATTTAAACCACACATTCAAATTTAAGTATGATATGCACATTTAATATGAAGCATCTCTGTGGCTGGTTTGAATAACATAGTACTTATGGCATATTACAATTTATCCCCAAATTAATGACATAATCCACAATAAATCAATGTCTGCCACAGGCCTTAGAGATTAACTGGTTCAGAAAGGCATAAACTTTCATAGATGATAGCATACTTAATCAGATGGACTAGATCAGCGTACATCACAAAAGTCTGAAACCTGTTGGCTTTGGGTCAGACTAGAAACTACCCTAATGGATGTAGGTGATTATCTATGGAAAGCAGCAAGTAGAAGAGTTAGTCATATTGTACAACTTCAGTGAGTTTTCATAAACTGCAACTCTGATAAAAATTAGAAAATACTTATGGACAGCAGCCTGTTGTATAATCATAAGGTAGTCATTCATATATTATTTCAATGATACAAAAACCTTGCTATAGATATCATAGAAAGATAGAGAAGTAGGGCTGGAAGGGACCTCCAGAGGTCATCTAGACCAGTGGTTCTCAACCTTCTTTGTACCATGACCCATTTGTAAACATTGATGGCCAATCCTGGGCAAACAATATGCTGGCATGCATTAACTGTTGCATCTCATCCAAAACTAAGGAAGTGATACTCTGCACTGGTGAGACCACAGCTGGAGTACTGCATCCAATTCTGGGCACTGCACTTCAACAGGGACGTGGAAAAACTTGAGAGGGTCCAGAAAAGAGCCATCCATATGATCGAGACAAGCCATTCGAGGGGAGGCTGAGGGACTTGGGCCTCTTCAGCCTACAGAAGAGAAGGCTGAGAGGGGACGTGGTTGTGATTTACTGCTACATCAGGGGAGTACATCAAGAACTCGGTGAACAGTTGTTCACCAGGGCACCCCTGGGAAAGACCAGGAGCAATGGATACAAACTCCTGGAAGGCTCAATTCAATTAAAAAACTCCTTCAGTCAGGGTGCCCAGACTGTGGAATAAACTCCCCGCAGTGGTGGTGCAGTCACCTACCCTGGAAACCTTCAAAAGGAGACTGGATAATCACCTTGCTGTGGTCACTTTACCCCAGTTGTCTTTTCCTGCCTAGTGCAGGGGGACTGGACACAATGATCTACAAAGTGCCTTCCAGCCCCTAACAATTTATGAATCTAAGACATACCTGCCTTAGGTAAACCAGAGAAACCACAGCAGCCAATGTCCTGCTACTATAAAAGCTTGGTAATAGATGCTCAAGAAATCCATGCCCCACCCTCTACAGAAGAAGGGAAAAACCTCCACAGTCAGTACTAATCTGACCATGTGGGTAAAATTCTTACGTGACCCCAAGTATAGCGACTGGTCTGACCTGGTGCAGAGGTGCAAGACCCCCTACCCAGAAACCTCTGGCTTTAAGCCCCAACAGGAGCATGGGCAAATCCTAAGGTAAGTGTTAGAAAAGGAACGGTACCAAAAGAATGAATCTTGACTTGCCATTTTTATTAGAAGTTAAAATAAGTAATGAAAATTCAATAGTTAAAAATATATTTTATAACCAAACCCATCATGTTTCCACTGCTAAGATCTAATGCAGGTTTAAGAACCTTTTTAGCTTCCTAAAAGGATTCACCACAAAAAGCCAAGAGCACTATGAAGTCTCCATGGTAGAAAAATTTGGGGAATTGGGACATCACATTCCACTCTGAAATCCCATCTACTCATGGATCTATATATGGCAGTAATAGCAGACTGTGAAAGCATTAAACAGGTTTGGAACAGCTGCCCAGTGTTTGCTCTGCCCAATGCGTGAACTCTGTCTTAGAGCATGTTGGGAAAGACAAAATCTTATTTCTGCACATAGAAGTCAAGAAGGTTCATTCCTGGGAGAAATGCATTTATCATTTTGGAGACATAAACTGGCATCTAAAAGCTCAGAATACACTTATTTCATAGGTTTGTATAAGGGTCTTAAAAAGGACAAGTTCCTATAATGTATTAAAGGTTTAATCCTATTGCAGCATTTCAGTGCTGTACTACAGAAGAATAAGAGTAAGTAGATTACAAAAGGTGAACACTACATGAGAAGGAGTTGTCTTATGAAAATTAAGAGAAGGCTAGCCAATTTTTTTTATGCAAAGAAGATATCTGGCTCGATTCCCTTGCAGGTTCTTCTTACTGAGGGTTCAGGAAATTAGTTTTACAAAACCAGTGCAATTTCTGTCTATTCCTGTGCCTACTACAGAAACCTCCTCTACAGGTCTCTTAAATTTTGTACAGTCATTCCGCATGTTTGGAAGAATCCTTACAGAGTGTGCATGCAGGCAATGCTGCCTTGTTTACGTGTGCAGTGCCTGACAGGAGGCTGACAGAGGCCCCTGTCACACATCACATATATTATGCCAGTGATACTCAACCTTTCTGACTGGCAGGCTGAATCCAGCTGGGGTTCCCAATCAGGCAGGCACAGCGGGCACTGGAAGGGGGTGGGCTGGTCCCAACACATCCCCCTGGGGGAAAGGAGTTTGACCCCGCCATGGAGAGGAAGATGTGGCCCTGCCCTGTGGAGGGGGCACAGCCAGTCCCCAATCCCTTTCCACAGAGTGGACAGGACTGAGGCCCCAACCCAGCCCCAGGGGAGAGACAGCCCAGCCCCAGGGGGAGGGAAGGGGCAGCCCAGCCTTGTGGGGGAAGGGGACAGACCAGCACCACAACCTGGCGGTAGGGAGGGAAGGGGCATGGCCCAGCATGGATCCAGAATAGAGCCTCAGGGGAAGGGGTCGCAGCCAGGCCCAGTCCCGACTGGCTGCGCGGTGCTTGAGATTG